AGATACATCGGAAAATTTGAAAAAACAGTGAAAACGAGCGAAAAAATTTTAAAAGTTTAAATTCGCGCGCTTTTACTCACCGGGCGGCCTAGAAAAAACCTCGTCCCTAAGGGCTTTCAGCGTATTTTTCGATGCGTTTTTCTCGATGAAGGAGTTTTTTTTGAATTTTTTCTTTATTTTTATGTCAATCTACATGCATTTCTGCACATTTTGATGCAATAAAAAATTTCACCGTACACCACCTTTAAGTCAAAATCATGAGGAATTCCTAAAAACTAATTCCTGATACCGAAAAAAAAAACCTAAAAAATACACCATGAGTCTGCACTCAACTGGCACACTATCCTTTTTCACAGATAGGTAGTAAACGTGTCTATATATTCTTTCTCTCCGTCTCTCTATCTCTCGTTTTAATGATAAATCAACCTTTGGACCCCATAGCCAAGCCTACAACTAGCCAAATCAGTTCGTTCTGATCCAAATTTTGAAAAGAGATATTCGTAAAAGACGAGAAAAACTGTGCTAGAATCCATAAATTTAAAGCTGAAATCTCCTATTTTTAGTTATCATTGATAACTTATCAATTCGCCTCATCTAGACCGAAAAATCGCTTTCACCTTTTTTCCAGTTGAAATTGCGTCGATATTCCAGAAATCCAGGCTCTAAAATCGTCATTTTCAGCTTGAATTCTCCCTTTTTCTAGTAGAAAATTCGTCTTTTTCATATCGAAGTTTCCAGAAACCCAGGCTCAAAACTCGTCATTTTCAGCTCGAAAACTGCTTTTTCTAGGCTTAAATATCGTTATTTTCAGCTCAAAATTTATCAGTTTCTTCTGGAATTTTCTCCTTTTCCCCGTTGAAATAAGCCTATTTCAGATGGAAATTTCCAGAATCCCAAGCTCATAAATAGCTATGTTGAGCTCCGAAACGGCAAAAAAAATCGGAAATTCTGAGAGAAAAATTGGAGTAAAAGAAAAAAAAAACGTTTTGGAGAACCAAGACAAAGAAGACGTCGGATCCCTTACCGTCGGTGTCTCATCGCCTCCATCGCGAATCACAGCGCCCAGCGGCGGTCCAATTGCCGTCGGCGTCGAAAGATCAGCCTCGTCCTCCGTGCTTTCCACAAAGTTCTAAAAGAAGAGAACAGATTGCGGTGTGGTGGGAGGAAAAAAGAGGTGATGAATTGAGTGATGATAGCCATATCATTGATACGGAAAGTGAGAGAAAAAGGGAAAGTTCCCACGGTGAACCGTTTTTTTTGTTTTTTTAAAAGATATCCCTTATACCTGTATTAGAAAGGCAGGGGCCTTTCTATTAAATTTATATATTATTTATATGTCCTTTTAGTACAGGCTTTACGGTATATGTTGAATCCTTAGATGAGTCTAGAATCTGGAAATTCTGAAACTCAAAAATCCAGAAAATTTGGAATTTTTAGAATTTTCTCGAATTTCTCAGCTTCTGAAGTTCTAGATTCCAAAAAATTCCAAATCCCTACCTGATTCACAAACTCCATCTTCTTACTACTCTTCTCCTTTTGCTCCTTTCGCTCTCCTCCTCCCATTCCACTTGCCACGTCATCACCGACTTCTTCCACCTCGTCCTCCAGTCTTCTGAACGTCAACTCGTCCGACGACGTCACCAGATGATGCTCCTCCTCGCTACTCATCCAGTTTTAGTCTTGGCTCTGAAATTTGGAAATTTTGGAAAAATCCCTTTTTAGCTGGAAAATGCCGATTGGCGAAAAAAGGAGAATTTCAGACTTTTCAATAGTAGAATATTCAGAAAAATTGAGCGGGAAATTTGAGTTTCTAGTGAGCAGAAATGGAAAATGGAAGATTTTTGAAGGAGAAATAATGGAAAATCTGAGAAAATGGCAGCGAAAATAAGGGAGGAAAACGGTCATAAAATCTGAAAAATGGGCTATAAGAAGGTGATAAAAATTGGGTGAAAAAATAGGGAATTTTCCGATTTTTGGGGATAAAAATTGCGAAAATTGATTTTTTAAAAGGAAAACTGTGGGGAAAAAAATGAAGATATTCCAAAAAAAAAGACTATCGAAAACTTCAAAAAATTTCAATTTTTTTATCTGACATTTTTTTAAATTTCGATTTTTAGACCAAAATTCAAAAAAATGGCATTTAGACTTTTTGAATTCGAAATTCAAAAAATTCATGATTTTCCTAAGCCCAAAAATTCAAAATTTCGATTTTTGGCTGAATTTTTAGCCCAAAATCGACCCAAAATTCAGAAATTTCAGACTTTTCAAATCTCAAAAATTAGAATTTTCGGCCGAAAATGCCTGAAGATTCCAATAAAAACTCACTGAAATATGCCGAAAATAGGAAAAAAAAAAGATAAAAATTCTGGTTGAGAACCGGAAAAAAATTGAATGAAAAATACCAAAAATGCGAAAAATAAATATTTTTAAAAATCAAAAACAACAAATTCTACTGAATCTACCTAAAAAAAATCAACAAAAATGGCTAGAAAAATCAGGAAAAATCGGCATAAAATGGTTGAAAAAAAAAGAAATTTAGGAAAAAAATATATAAAAATCGCAGAAAAATCCGATTATTTCTTCGCCAAATGTCCATGAGTTTTCGGATTCTGCATGGCCATTTCCTCGTCGATTTCCTCCAAAAATGTCTCTTGTTTGACTGAATACATCGTATACCAGTAGATTCCAACGACCAGCCCGATCAGCACGGCGAACGAAATGTGATTTTTGTAGTTTTTCGCGAAAATCTCCTTCACACGCTCTTGATTCACCTGGAATTAGTCAAGCATTTTCAGAGGAGAATACGAGAATTTCAGCTGTAAAATAGCACATTTTTCGGCAATTTTTGCTCAAAATTCGTTATTTTCAGCTTGAAATCGCCATTTCTAGCTCGAAAATTATCAATTTTCTGTGGAATTTCGCTGTTTTTAGCCTAAAAATTATCAATTTTCGGTGGAAATTTCAAATTTTTAAGCTCAAAAAATTGTAATTTTCAGCTGAAAATCAGCATTTTTGGCTCAAAATTCACCAATTTTCTGACGAAATTTCGAATTTTTCAGCTCAAAAATTGACACTTTCCCCTAGAAATCACCATTTTTAGCTCGAAAATTATCAATTTTCGGTGGAAATTCGCTATTTTTAGCTTCAAACTTGCCATTTTCAGCTTAAAATCGTCATTTGTAGCTTGAAAATTATTAATTTTCTGTGGAAATTCGCTATTTTTAGCTCAAAAATGTCAATTTTCGATCAATTTTCAGTGAAAATTCGCTACTTTCAGCTCGAAAATTCTTAAAATTTCGATTTTAGCTTGAAAATCGTAATTTTCAGCCAATTTTCACTATTTTAAAGTGAAAAAAGGGAATTTTTGGCTCGAATTTCTACCTTTTCAAACTGCTTGGCAAATCGCTTCTGTGGCCGTGGCAAGTCTTCGATGTCGATCGTTTCCAGCATATCGTCATCCTTCTTTTTCTGAAAAATCGACTTTTTTGGATTCTAAAAACTGAAAATCTGTTTTTTTTTCTAGAATTTCCTAGAATTCTCTCAGTAATTTAGCTCAAAAACTCACTTCAATTTGCGAAAACTGCGCCTTCTCCGCTGTCAATTTCGAATCGCCGCCTTTTGCTGCTGCCACGTGGCAACTGGTACTAACCGCCCGTCGAATGGCGAAACGAGAATTAGCGACAATTGAGAGCATTTTTCTGGAATTTTTTATATTTTTTTATTGAGAAAAGGGGGGAAAATAAACAAATTCTGTGTCACAAGGTGATCAAATAGAGAGGGAAATTGATGGATTTTATTAAAAAATCAGATTTTTTAATTGGAAAATTTCAGTTTTTATCAAATAATACTTTCTGAAAAGTAAAAAATCGATTTATCAGAACCAAAAAATGTTCGTTTCGTCATCTATAACACATCGTCATCATCTGCTTCCTCCTCCTTCCTCCTCTATCCAATAAATCGAAAAAAAAAGAAAAAGTGACTAGAACTTTCACCTAATCTGATGCCATATTCCACTTCAGACTGGATGTTTAGATAAAATATGTCATAGAAAATGAGTGTAAAATGAAGTTTTTAGGGTGGAATTTCTGAAATTTCCAGATTTCCAATTTTAGAAAAAAAAATTAATTTTTTCGCAGTAAGCATTTCCGCTATATGAAATCGAATTCATTGTGTTTACTTTAGCCGGGAGAGTGCAACGTGTCTCTTTTTGTGTGTGAAACTCATTGGTAAACAATGGGAATCTGAATTTATGAGAAAAAATTTTTTTTTAGATTTCTGGAATTTCATCATCGACAAATGGCGAATTTCAGCCAAAAAACTGCAAAAAAATAGACTAAAAATGAGTAAAATTGAATAATTAATTATTTTTCAATTTGTAGATGATTCTGAGCCTTTAAAGATTTGTTGAAACTTATAGAAATTCCTTTTATTCAGGACATTTTTCAATCAATTCTCCATTTTGAAAAATAGAGGAAAACAACGAGAAACAAGGGATTTCAGCATCAGAAACGCGCATGACAAACCCATTAGTTCCTCAATCCCGTTTTCCACGATGACTACACCAATGGCTGGCCGAGGATCCGACTCGCGGCCCTCGCGACCTCGGAAGCGCGCCGAAAATTCCAATTTCAAACATCGATTCGTCACTTTTCTCTTTTATCAGTTTTTTTTTCTCTTTTATCAGCAACTTTTCGATGCGAAACTTGCTGATAAAAATGCTGAAATCTGTTAATTTGATTCGATTTTCAGCTAGAATCATGTCTAGAAACGTGGAGATCAAAGCCAAAGTCCAGAATCACGATGAAACGGTGAGACGGGCGGTGGAGATTTCCGGGAAGCAACCGACGATTTTGAAGTGAGTTTTCAAACTAAAAAAAGTTGAAAAATTGGATAATAATCAATTTTTAAGAATTTAGATTAAAATTTTTTTGATTGAAATTTTCGAATTCAGGCAACACGACATCTTCTACGAGTCGCCAAACGGTCGTCTGAAAATGAGAAGTGTCGAGGAAAACGGAGTGGTAAATAAAATTCTAGAAATTTCCAGAAAATCCAAAAATTCAATTTTTAGGCCCTCACTGAACTGATCTGGTACGATCGTCCAGATGTCGCTGGACCAAAACTGAGCAATTTCAACAAATTCGACGTTCCGGTTGAGGTTTTAGACGCGTTGAAGCTGTCTTTGGAGGTAGAGAAATTCCTCGAAAATTGATAAAAATTCAAATTTCCCTCCAAAATTTTTAGTCTTCAATGGGCATCAAAGGAGAAGTCAAAAAGACGCGTACGCTCGTGCTTCACAATCAAACGAGAATCCATATCGATCGTGTCGATGGATTGGGAGATTTCATGGAGTTGGAAGTGTGTTTGGCACCGGAAGAGACGCCAGAGCACGGAGAGAAGATTGCTCATGAGTTGAGAGAACAACTGGCAGTGCCTGAAACCGATCTTCTCACTGGCGCTTATATGGACATGTTGAAGGCATAAATTTTGATATTTTTAGATGTTTTTTGTGATTTTTGTTGAGAATGAAGTTGTTTTTTTTTTTTGGTTTTTTTCCGATTTTTTTTTTGAGAAAAGTGAAATTTTTTAGTGATTTTAATCGTTTTCAGTTCAACTTCAAGTGTAAGTTGCTGGAAAAATTGGAAGTTCAAGTTATCTGTTTTCGTGATATAGCCAAAGAACCTTTTAGCATACTGCGCCTTTAAAAAATTACGGTATTTGAAGTTTTCTATTGTCTATTCAAAATAATCGCGCGGGTGAACGAGTAAAAATGTCTGCGTCTCTACAGCGCCTCTCAGATTTGGAGACTCTCTCACGTTTTTTTACTCGTTCACCCGCGCGATTATTTTGAATAGACAATAGTTTTCTAATCAAAAATTTTCACGCTGGGAGACCGTGTTTCTGTATTGTATTTCCATTTCTATAAGAATCTACATAGTTTTCTACACATTTTTATGCAATAAAATAGAGTAAAAAATTTTGTCGGAATTAACGAATTCTAGAGAGAAAAAATCGGACATTTCTCGGATTTCGCAAAATTTTCAGCCCTTTTTAGGCAGCTGTTTTTGAAGACTCTTATTCGATTTTTCCTGTTTCTTAGTCTGAAGTTTAACCGGGTGGCGTTCTTGACGGAATATTACTGTAGAAAACCTTGTAACAAAAAACTGTTCTAATCTCCATTTTGGCGTGATTGTGTTTGCAAAAAACAAAAGAAAATTAGTCTTCTACAGTAATCTATGGTAATCTTACGGCAAGAACACCATCCCTGTCAATTTTCGAAAACAAAAACAGGAAAAATCGAAAAAGAATCTTTGAAAATAGCTGAAAAACCTAAAAAG